TTCACTATTGCAATTTCTGTCTCTATTCTTACGAGTTATTCAATCTAGTATCATCATTTATTGGCAAAAGATATGCGATCTCGTTTTGTTCTTCACGTAACCACTCGACGGCCAAAAAATAATATCCATCCGACGAGCAACCAGTCTGCCAATCGTCATGACAATTTGTTCTCGGTTATTATATACTTAAAATCTTTGATTATTCATATTTTCTCTTTGTGTAAATAGATGTCAACTATTTTGGCTGCGCGTTATCATCAAGATAAACGCCAGGCTGCCGTGATGGGTGAGGGCAAAGGAGGTGGGATGGGACAGGAAGAAAGAGGACAGAAGAAATATATGAAAGGTTATTCCTCCGGGGATCTCTTTGCAGCAGCCCAGGATAAATCTACCAAACAAATTGTCAATCAAAATTTTGGTAAATCAGTAAACAATCGTACATATGCCGACAAAGCCACCAAAATTGATCAACATTCTTCGTCATCAATACAGGTGAGATATTAAAATGAGGAGCATGCTCGTTATCAGATTCTATACGCCTAAGTATTTATTATTGAAGATCTGGAAATTGTTTAGTTTTCGTTGTATGAGCAAGTTCTTATTTGAATTATATACATCTTCGTCGAATTTTAGAAACGGTCAAATGTCCTAGTTTCATGCAAAACTTGATAGAGAGAGAGTGTTCAACAATTGTTAAGCCTAATAAATATATTTGTGTGCAACTAGTATGCTTGACCACATACTATCTTAGCTAAGCTCTTAATGAAGTGACTCTCCAGACTGACGTGAGAGAATGACCATTGTAATAAAAATCTAATGCTTTTCTACCAGTAAACGATTTTTATGTATGTTTTCTACACTTTTTTCTCCTTTGATCAATGGGCAACGTAATTTGGATCCATACCACAATTTATTTTAAGAAATAGAATTTATATCTAAAAAATTTAGTGAGAAAGGATAGAATGAAAACAAAACTAGAGGACTTTAGCATTTTGTTGCGCAAAAACTGAATTTTTGTATGTTTTCAAGGAAAAATCTTTGCTTTTCAGCATTGTTTCCATCAAACAAACTGAGAATATATTGGTTTACATAGCGTCTATGTCGAAAAAAAGTGTTTCAAAAGGAAAGTACTAAATAAGAGTTGCAAAAGCAAGAAAATACTATCATGTTACATCGTATGTCAACAACCTTTTCCTTAGTTGGTTTCCATATTGTAATTGAACTTTTCCTAATTCCATCAAAAATACCTGTCTTAGAAAGCAAGCTAGAGATTGATCAAAAGTCAGATGATAAAATGAAGCAGTTTCAAGGGTCAAAAAGGTGAGCTCCAAACTGCGTAAACTCCAAATTTGGAGCGCACTTCACAACAGTCCATATTTTCTCTCAAGAGCTATCTTGTTGAAGTACCCATGGGTCCTCAAGGGCTACTATATGGAGTCTCTTGGGACCTCAAGGGTTACTATAAGGGGTAATATTGAGTCCTCAAGGGCTACCATAGTGGCTATCCTTAGGTCCTCAAGGGCTA